CCTGGCACACACATTGTTCTTTTAGCCCCTTTCTCTACCTGGGCTGCTGTAGAGCTGGATGGTATTAGCCCAGGCAAAATGCCTCTGCTATGCTATTTTCAGGATCCATGCTAGCCTGTTTAAAGATGGCCAGTTATAGGGCATTATATCCATATCTAAACTATCCTGATCTGACTGACAGGAGGCTGAGAGGAACAGTGAACTGCTGTGGGTACTCTGGATGATCAATAAGACTGTCTTTATCCTTCTGCTGCCCTCTGTGCATAGCAATTGCAAAGTCAGGTTCTGTTGTTTACACTACTTTAAACCTACAATAACAGTGCTACCTCCAAATGTTTTGGATTGACTGTGCTATAAATGAAGACACTCATTTGTGGCAGCATGCATGGATTCAGAGCTTGGATGCCACACACCACATTAAGCTCCAATAAATTCAGTGAAACTGTACCACATTATACTAGGGGAGTGCTTGCCTCAATAGCTCAGATCCGAACCAAAGGCAGGGACCGTGGGGTCCACAAGCAATTTCTGCCTGCACGTTTGTGTCTCTTTCTCTTGGTTTGTCTCAATAATGTTTCAGATGATTCATGACCCTGCTCTCCCTTCTCCCAAAATCATCATAACTGCAGAAAAAAACCCTGTGCCTCGTGTGCATATGGGAGCGGGTGGGAATCAGAATACGTGGACCTTTAAGTAATCTCCATCAAGCCAACATGCACCATGTAATTTTATGACTCTTCAGGGTTGCTGTAGAGTCTATGCATTTCCTCCCCTCCTCTTCCTCCAGTTTAGCCATGATTTTCATGTGGCTTTAATATATATTTTCTGTATTTTCTCCATCCAGCTTTTTGTTTCCAAAACTTCTGGTCAGCTGCAGTACAGACTGAGAGCCAAACAAATTGCTGGGTTCTTCCATGCTTCCTTCCAGAATCATAGAATCATAGAATCATTAAGGTTGGAAGAGACCTCCAAGATCATCGAGTCCAACCGTCAACCCAACACCACAATGCCTACTAAACCATGTCCCTAAGCGCCTCATCTACCCGTCTTTTAATACTTCCAGGGATGGTGACTCTGATGAAGAAAGCAGCTTTAAAGTTAAAACTGGTGTTAGATGCCTAAATACCAACACCTCATTTATATGCCATCCACACCCCTCTATTTAAAAAAGCTGCAGTACAAAAATGAGTAAGATGGTGCATATATTTTAAGTGGGCAATCGACACGGACCAGCTTCTCATTCCCTCAGGCCACACTGTATGGATACATAAGGGAGGCAAAGACTCATGTTTACCTCATAAAACTGTAAGGAGATGGGATGTACGAGCATGTGGGGAAATGCTTTGAGTCTCAGTCTCAGCTGCACCAGGGAGATATTTCCACTCATATCCTCTGCATTTTAGCCCCTGGATTGCCCTAGCTCAGATTCAGCCCAAGGCTTGGGGCAGGCTGAGTAGCCACCACTTCAGCTATGCCAGGGCTAATCTTTCATGCAGATCCTGTTCAGGTGCAAAGCATGGCCCAAACATAACTCACTCAGCCTGCCAATTTTAAGTGTCTATGGGAGACACTTGTTCAATGTGGTCCTGTGCATTGGCACAGGGAAACTGTCCCAGCATAGACAAGCCTTCCAACTATTGCATTAATTAAGCCTTCATTATATATCCAAAACACTTTAAACAGCTCCATTTCCAAGCCAATCTAACAACATGCCTGCAAAATCCTCCTTAAGACAGTTTTGGAGGCTTATTATCTATTTGGCTTACATCCATATTAAAATCTTTTTGGTTTGCATCAATATTAAACCTAAGCCTTATGTTGGCCTCCTACCCAGAACGCTTTCACCCTTGGGCACCTAAATAGCCTTTTGCACGCACAGTTACTACTACAATTGCTCAGACTCCTTCAGGTTATGCTGTGTTCAGGAAAGAGGAGGAATGGGAAGACAACAGCAAAATGCCCACTAACATCAATGAGGCTAGGATCTGGCATCTGCTGTTTTGCAGATATGTTCTGCCCAGGCAAAGTGGGGTTGTCCTGCTATAGATGTCTTCATATTTGCCATCATTCTTCTACCGTGTATAGTGTTGGGGATGTCAGCTTAGCAGAATTATCTTTCTTTGTTTTCTGTTGTTGAATAAACATCCTTAAAACCTTTTGAAAGGTTAGTACCTGGCTCCCATGCTTTTGTAATATCCCCCCCACAGATATCAAGGGAAATTTTGCCTGTCCTGGTATCAGGCACAGCAAAGACCTAATTATTGTTCTGATCCACTAAGCAACAATTGCATCTACTGTAAACTGAGTGGTAAATTCCAGACTTCATCCCAGAATACTTCTGAGACCAATAAACTTGGAAAGAGCATTTCTTTATGGGTGCATGCCAAGGAGATACTGGGTTCCAGATGAATCTCCAGAGTAAGTCTATTGACTTCAGTCCATTTACTCCAGGGATGAAGCTGGCTTGGTGTCTTTCCTGAAGAACTGCTGGATAATGATTCCTATTTAATTAAAAAGCATGCCAAAAGGAATTTCAGGGTTTAGAAATGTGCTTGTCACTCAAACAAATTTATACTTGGTAAGAAAAAAAAGTTTGTTGTGTTTTTTTCTTTTTCCCTGGACACATACAGAATTATCTCTGAAACATCCCTGGGCTTGAATCCACAGCAGTGTCTCTGGGTCTGCGGTTTGATTATTAGAGGTTATTGCTTGCCCGCCTCTCTTGTCTGTTGTGCAAGCCAGTTCCTCTGCCCTTAATTCACTCTGGGCTTCTGACAACACTGCATTCCTTAATGTGCCATTACCAAACTAGTAAATAAGCACTGCTCTGCTCTTTCTCCCTACCCTAAGCCAAACAGGCTGGGTACTCCTTTGTGGATTTATCTTTAATTTTACAGAATCCTTGGGTAAGCAATACACAGTAAGGTATCTTAGCTGCTGATCTACTGCCATACATACGGGACTGCCATCCCAGAAAGATGGAAGAGATTTCATACAGGGTCTTGAATTAAAATCTTCCCAGCAAGTAGAGGGATGTGTTTGACTTACATTTGGAAAACATCAGTGAGATAGCAGGATCTCCAAGTGGGGACTAAGAGGGAATGTGGGAGGTAAAGGAGGAGAGAGAGCAGGGAAATGCTTTTATCTACAACAAACTTTTTAAGTACAGAATTTAAATCTGGAAAATATTAAGCTTATAAAGTTTCATGTGGACAAGAGACTCCCTATCTCTGCTGCACCGCCTCATTTATCTGGACTGTATTTCTCACACTTCAAGAACGCTGTTATACAACCACTATCCTCATATCATTCCACTGCAGCAGACCCATACCACCCTCTCCAGGCATAGCTCCATATTCCCTTTACTTCATAACCTGCTGCTTTTATTCATGCCTTTTTCCTATCAGCTTCATCCTTCTGCTCTAGCAAAACCTTAAAATGGCAGCATCACTTAGAGCCTTTCCTTGTATCACTTTAATTCTCCACCAAATCCCAGTGTAAACATCTGTACAGCACACATCTCCATTGACTTCTATGCAGATGCACCAACAAAGAAGTTGACCCAACTTCTCTGGGAAAGTGCCGTCTAGTTTAGACAAATAACTCTGAGCAACCTACCACACTGCTAATCCTTTGTCCATTTTTAGAACTGATTTTTTTATTGTTCTGAAAAGTCCAAATAAATATTTTTTCCCTTCTGGTTTTCATCTCAGGACAGAGGTGTCCAACTACTGTGAAAAGAAGCGTTTTACCCCTAGCATTTCCCACCAGAAACAGAAATGGAAAACTAAGATTTTTCCTGTGAGATTTCCACCCTTGTTCTGGATAGAGATATACATCTCACCACAAAGACTCGTCCTCAAATGTGACTGCTGCTGCAGTTTGTGGTTCCAAAGCTCTCAGCACCAGATAGTAGGTTTGGTACAACAAGGTGCAAATTTACAACACTGGGTAAGTGATTTAAAATCAGGAATAATGATAGCGACCCAGAAACTGGGGCCAGTTTGGGCAGTCTTAAAAGAAGCATCTGAAACATTACACACAGCCAGTCACCAAAACCGGACTCCAATTCTGCTGACATTTGTACATTCCTAATTCCTGTTCTATATTTGCAGCACAAACAAGACCCAAAGCAAGAGCAGAGCTTCACTGTATTGTATGTTCCACAATAATCAGTCTTTGCTCTGATCTTCATTGGAAAAGGCAGCCCTAGGGGATGATCAGCAGAGATGTACAGGGGTATGACACGTCCTTGCAGACAAACAGCAGGGTCACGTGCGAGAGAAAAGCTTGTCTTAAACCCTGTGATTTCCTTCTTGCCTCCCTTGACCTCTTCCTTCTCTCCTGTTTTCTTCTGATTTCTGTCTGCCTTTTTTAATTATTAACCCTGTGACTGTGCTTTTTAATGCTGCAGAACATTTTGTGAAAAAGCATGGAGGAAAGATAATGCTCAGTGAAGCTCAGTCATACTTCTACTGATACTGTCATTTGGATATTTTAAAGTGCTTTTCAGACATGGTGAGCCAGGAAAAAAGTTAATCTTGCAAAAATTTGCACACTTAGAAATGTCTTTTCCTTGTACCTGAGGCAGAACAAGGATTCCAGCCTGGGTTCAGCATGCCTGCCCTTCTATAGGAGCCCTGCAGCATCAAGATACTGACACAGGGCTTAGAAAATCCAGAAGAGCCATTCCTTACTAAAAAGGCATAGCAACTAATACGTTTCTGCAAACCATTTCCATTTTGTGATCAATAAATAAGACTAAAAGGCTCCTGACAAGGTCTGTGTGTTCGCAACATTGCTATTTCATGGGTATAATCCAAAAGTCAGGCAGATGAAATAGAAGCACAAAACTGTGCCAGCAATAGAAGAAATACCGTCTTGTTCAATGACCTATGTCCTATGCTTTCTTACTGGAAAACTTTGCCTCCTTCCCACTCATTTCTTAGATTCAGGCAACACTGAATTGCTGTTTTGTATTAACAATTTCTGTCACTTACCACTGTGCAGCAAAGAGGCCAGAACCACCAGAGAAGAACCAACGCCAGCAGGAGGAAGAGAATCAACAATGCAATAGCCAGGATGGTCCCATCTGACTGGAAGAGAAACACAGAGAACATGTGAGCACCACTAACACAAAACTCCGCTCTCCACGGTACCTCACCTGTGCATCCTGCTTCCAGGCAAGTACATGCCCCAAAGGCCATTGCCATACTCCATTTATTTTTCAGACAAAATGCAGTTTTCCTCCCTCCTCATACACCCAAATGTGGCACGCACCCCCCCAACTCATTGCAAAGAGGCTGAAACATCTAGTTCCCTTCTGAGAGAGTTACAAGTTTTTTCTCAATTTTCTGAACCTCACAATTACGTAAAACACTTACTTCACTTCAGATCAAAATTAGTGTAATATTCCTCAGAGTATTGTGAAGACTGAAAAAAATATTTAAAAAAGGCTCACAACACAATGTTTCATTGCAGTTTAAGCATTCTCCTTTCTTT